GCTGCAGTGCCCTGGCCCTGTGCCTGCTCCGAGTGGACGCTGCTCTTCCAGAGAAGGGCCGCTCCACAGGCCGCACCCCAGTTGCTGGGCCTGTGCTGCCCACATGACCCACTGTGGAAGTCCCGGTCTGCCTGAAGTCCTGCTGTAGGTGCTGTGCGGGAGCACCATCCTGCCTTGCAGCGTGTTCGAGCGGCAGCAGAGGGAGCCGGGCGAGGACTGCGCCCTCCATCTTGCCTTGGGTCCTCTATTTTGGGACAGAGCCATGTGCGCCCTCCATCTTGCCTTGGGTCTCGCAATTTGAAATAAAGGACTCTGCTTTTGCATCGGACTCACGGGCTCCCTGGTGGGCTCTTGGGAATCTTGAAATCTGGGCATAACATTTGGGGGCTCGCCCGGGGTTCCCAAGACCATTGAGGGACCCCCGATCCTAAGAGTCTGACTGACCACGATAGGTGTCTGTGTCGTGTGTTCTGTTCTTTGCGAGCTCGTTTCTGGAATCTGTAAGTGCCTGAGGGGTCTAGGTGGACACACCGTGAAAGACCACAGGTGGGGGATAGTTGGAAGACGTTCTGCTCCCCACGAGGGATGGATATGCCCCTCTCAGATTTGAGACGAGGCGGGTCGCTCCTGCCGGTTTGGTATAAGGCCATCGTCTAGATTTCGAGTTTGGCTTCCATGGAGTTGGAAGCCTGTTTTGGTTCTGCTTCCATGGAGTTGGAAGACTGTATTTTCTGGCCTGTTTGTTGTTTGTGTTTGTGTTTTTCAGTTTTATTTTGTGGACTTACTGGACGGACATTATGGGACAGACTCAAACTACTCCTTTAAGCATTATGGTCGATCATTTTAAAGAGGTAAGGGAAAAGAGCCAGCGACCTCAGTGCGGAGGTTCGGAAAGACCGGTGGCAGACTTTTTGTTACAAGGAGTGGCCGACTTTTAACATCAGGTGGCCGCCGGAGGGGACTTTCGACCTCCCAACATCCGCCGGGTTAGGGAAGTCATCTCCCAACTTAGGGGGGGACATCCTGGTCAACTCTCTTACATTGTTACTGGGCAGGACCTCATGGAAGACCCGCCATCTTGGCTCAGGCCCTTCCTACCTCCACGCCCTCCTGGGCCGAAGCCCATTCTTACCTTGCAGAGAATGGAAAAGGAGGAGAAAAAGAAGAATCTCACTCAGCCTTCAGCCCCCCCTACCCTGTCCTGCAGGGGGGAGCCGCCTCTCACCAGGCAGAGGGCTCAGCGGGAACTGTCTGCTGCAGCACCGACTCCACTATCAAGACCCTGCCCTTACGGGCCGCTGGACCCCCGGATGCGGATGGCAACCAGCCCTATTGTTATTGGCCTTTTTCAACATGCAATCTATATAACTGGAAGGCACAAAATCCCAAGTTTTCTGAGAGACAGGGGGGACTTATTGACTTGCTAGACTCTGTTCTTTTCACCCATTAGCCTACATGGGATGACTATCAGCAGCTTTTACAGGTTCTGTTCACAATGGAAGTGAGAGAAAGGATCCTCAATGAGGCCTGGAAAGTGGTTCCAGGCGTGGACGGAAACCCAACTGCCAACCAAGCCCAGATTAGATGTCTCTTTTCCCTTAACTAGGCCTGAATGGGATTTCAACACAGCAGAAGGTAAGGAGAGACTTACAGTCTACCATCAGACCCTAATGAGGGGTCTCAGAATGGCTGCTAGAAGGCCAACTAATTTGGCCAAGGTGGGGAATGTGCAGCAGGAAAGGGATGAATCTCCAGCTGCCTTTGTAGAACGGTTCATGGAGGCTTACCGCACCTACACCCCCACGAATCCAGAAGCTCCTGAAAGCAAGGCAGCTGTGATCATAAGCTTTGTAAACCAATTGGCCGCGGATATTAAAAGGAAACTACAAAAAATAGATAGGTTGGGAGAGAAGAGTTTACAGGATTTACTGGCAGTGGCAGAGAAGGTGTATAATAACTGAGAGCCTCCAGAAGACAGGCAAGCTCCCGTCGTGGCTGCCACTAGCAGTAGTCAAGCTTGGGACCTGGCTAGAGGTCTGCTGGCTATGACCATGGACTTCCCCAAGGAGTGAGACCGTCGCCTCTGACAGCTTGCAAGCAATAAAGGAAGAGGTAAGCAGACCACCTGAGAGGGGAGGCGGAGGCTGCAGAAGGATCAGTGTGAGAGGGGAGGCGGGGGCTACGGAAGGATCAATATAAGTTTTGCTTGGACTCAGGGCACTGGGCTCAGGAATGTCCGAAGTAGGCCGGTGAGAAGGGCGACAGGACTGACTGAGTCAAGGTCTTAGAGCTGGGTGAACTGAGTGATTAGGGGAGTCAGGTTGCAGACCCCCTCCCCAAGCCCAGGATAACTCTCAGAGTGGAGGGGACTCCTGTTAACTTCCTTGTTGACACTGGGGCACAACATTCGGTCCTCCGCACCCCGCAAGGAAAACTGGAGAACAAAAAGTCCTGGGTGCAAGGGGCAACTGGTATGAGCCAGTATTCATGGACTACCCGAAGAACAGATTTAGGAATGGGCCAGGTATCCCACTCTTTCATGGTGATATCGGAATGCCCCTACCCACTATTGGGATGGGACCTACTGACCAAAATTGGAGCTCAAATAACTTTCAGACAAGGGGGGCCTCAGGTCACTGATGGGAAGGCCGCCCCATTCAGGTCCTGACCATGAGGCTAGAGGATGAGTATCGCCTCTACCAGAAGGCTTCCCCAGTAGAGGGCAGTATGGACAAATGGCTACAAGAATTCCCAACAGCTTGGGGAGAGACAGGGGGGTGGGGCTGGCTGCCCACAGGGCCCCAGTCCTGGTAGAACTAAAACCAGAAGGTCCAGTAAGAATCAAGCAGTACCCCATGCCTCAGGAGGCACGGAAGGGAATTCAGCCTCATATCAGGAGACTGAAGAGCTTGGGGGTGTTAGTTCCCTGCCAGTCTGTGTGTAACACTCCCCTAATGCCGGTTAAAAAGCCCCAGACAATGACTACAGGCCAGTACAGGACCTCAGAGAAGTAAATAAAAGACT